CTTATTACATAATACCCCACTAGGCCGAGGGTGGGGGGAACGCTGATCCTTGCTTAGAGGTTTGTTGAAGCGGCGTGGCTGGCGCAGTTTCAACTTTTGGAGAGCCTGGACTATAGTCCCGTCTCCCCTAGCCTTGACTTCATGTAGATCCTTTGTTGCCGTCTCGAGTGTTTTGGCTAGTTCAATGGCCTTGGAGAATCTTTAGTCTGCAGGTGTCACTGCGTATACCACAGACCGGGCGATCACGGAGGGCATCGTCTAGAAAAGATCCGAATTTACAGGGTATTGCCACTGCCGCCACCCTTTGTTCTTCTTCCTCCAATACCCCTCTTTAATGTTTCAATGGCCAGTCATCTTGACACGTTCATGTTTGGAGGCGACCTGCGCGCCATGGTAGCTGTTTTGGACATCCCTGAGCCACTGAAGGAGGTGGTGTAGTGGCACCATGAAGCGGTCTTCGTCACCAAGAAAAAACTAAACGGTCATTCTCAGGGTCACCACATCTCCAAAAAAGAGATTGACTCCTCAGCTGTCTTATTATTCTCGTTACATATTGCCTCCACAGGGTCATCGCTTGCTCTCACGACTTGACAAGTAAGTCCAATCCAATCAGTCCTTTTTAGGACTATCGCCGCTTTGTAGCTTTAAGCACTCGTGGGCCTTTTGCGTAATGTCACATTGCCGACACGCCGTGATGAGTCATTCCACGGAAGCATTTTTATACAGGCATTGTTTCCACATAGTAAGCGCGTAATAACACTGAGCCCATTCGTTGTACCTTTTTTCTTCTGTGTCGAAAAATATCGGGTTTAGACAATCCGAGCGCCAGCATCAATTGTTCCAACGAAGTACGTATTTCCAAACCTGCGCAATCGCACTCTTTTAACTAATTGTGCACGAATCGACACAATTGCAATTCCGTAGGCGTGCGCGATTTCATCGTGCTCCAAAACAACTCCTGACAGGCCCGCGCGCGCTATGTTTCAAACAATAGGCTCCCGCGCCGATTGGTCCGTTTCAAACGATACACTCGCTCCAATTGCCCCGTTCAACCGATGCACTAGGCACCGATTGGTTGCTCATTTCCCGCCACTTCTGTCCGATCGACTGCAAATCTGGTGCTATTCCCTCCGATCAATTTTTTCGGGTTGCCTCCGCCTACCTCATTAGTATTCTGTCTCATCAATAATTTAAGCTTAGCTCCGCCTACCTCATTAACATTCATTTATGCAAATGAGCTCGGACGTCATGCATAAATATATTAAATGTATTATCAAGGCCGGACACGTACTACGGTCGAGCGTTTTGAGAGCAGAGGCTGGACACCAGACGGACTTGGTGGGCGCAAGCTTAACAATGACCTTAGACAAGTCGTCATTCTGAGTAGACGTACCCAAATCAGAACGAACTGACCTTATAAGTCTTTGTTGTGGAAGAAGGCTCGCACACGCATATGACAGAAGAACTTCTCGACGTCCTGACGGGTTTTGAACTCATCCCATCGGTTCGTCAGTGGGATGAAATTCAGCCCACGAGGACAGAGCGTTCGCTATCAGTTAGGGGGAGATCTGGTTGGATGGGTAACTACTGGTACCAAACTCTTTTGGTTAGCACTGTTTGTGGATATGGGCGTACAATGAGATTTGTCTGGTTTGAGCTTGGGGTACATTGATTTTCTTGATTTTGGTTGCTTCGAGGGCCGCAAGAACTTGAGCTGCATCCAGGTTAGTCTTGGCTTAAGACGTCAGGGATCGATAGTTGTTTTATTTCTGTTGAAGAGCGCCTCCGCACACCTAGATTTTACTTACTCTCACTAACGTCTTGGGAATCTTGCCGGAATGGGGGTGTGGCAGTGTATGCAAATGTCCGATCTTCTTAAATATTTAATAGCCTAGGTATTATAATTATGTACATGTACATGTACTTCGAAGTTCGAACACCTTTGCGGCTTCACGCGGGCAGTACCCTGTCGATAGTGTTCTGGGAAGGAGTTAGTGACATGTAAGACATATTTTTCACTCCGTACTAGACGTGAAATTGCCACTCTTCTAAAAGATATCGTTGGGGACTACAGTTGTGCTGCATCGCATCACGTTTGCGATGTTTGTGGCAGAAAAATTGGGAAAACAAAATCGTTGTCTGATATCACACAATAAATAAGTTCTCGTTTTTTGCAACTCACAATGGGCATGCTGCCCGAGACCAAATTACTCACACAAGCGGCAATAAACCTACACGTGCAGCAAGAAAACGACAACCAACTTGCAGTCCGGGTACTCCGTCCTTGAAGGTTAAGGTCTATATGGTCTCTAAGGACGCTTTAGTTAGCTGGGGAGGGCATACTGACTGTACATGATTATGGGTCACCAAGAACAGCATCCTCTGTCATATCCTAGGCCTAAACTAGTCCGAGTTTCACCCGTTCTACTCCGTGCTAACTCTGTACGAACGTCTGTGTTGTCGTGCCTGTGTTGACGGGACTGCAGACAGCCATAATGCCATGGTGTATTATTAAGGCCATCAAAATTTATTATGCATGCATTTTAGCGAGTGCTGATTGGTTCCCTTGGAAAGCCGAGGGAAAAATAAAGAACAAATTAAAACGCTGCTGCAAGATTCCCTAGACGTTAGTGCGAGCTGGCGCACAGTCTAATTGTAAGTCGTTAGGGGACACACTATGCACGGTGTCCGCTATCAAGCACTAACGTCTTGAAACCAAGACTACATCCAGGTGGAATGAACATGGATTTCTCTGTATTCATCCAGAACTGAATCGGCTTGCCCTAACAAGGTACCCAGTTACCGAAAGCTCGGAAATTACATAATTTAGAACACTGTTTATATATTGACTGACACAAGCAACGATTTGTTAGCTCAATGTAGTATATCAGCCCACAGACAAGTATTATTCATTAATATCTCAGAGAGCCTCCCTATTCAACAACGTGCAATTTTGACCGTCTATTAGCATACGACAATCCCGCTGAGATGTGATATTCGCCCTCTCCATTGATCACGCGCCGGTACCTGGATACGAGACAGTATACTCCATCCCTATTGGTAACTAGTCTGTGTGCGATGAAGCACGCAGAACGCGCCACGTAAAAGGAAATTCTATTGGACAATTGGACAACATGCAAAAGGAATGCACCTTAAAATGAATGGAGGTGTTCGAGAAAATGAAAGTAAAATTCTAGAACAAAATTGCTGGAAATCCAACATACATGGAAATTAACTCGTTTTGCCACTCCGACTTAAAAGGTATTTATGAATGGGAATAAATATTATGCTTAGCCCGACGTTTAAGACCGGCTCAGGAGACTGAACGCTGATGATGCCCTCGCCTGCGGCTCAGGCACTGGTCGCGGCCATTCTCCTGAGCAAGTCTTAAACGCACGTTTAAAACCGGGCCAAGTACACAATATTAAAGCCGCTTACAATCTACACGTACTGATCGTTCTCCAATAAGCAGGAACATTCACATGAACATGGACATTTCTCCTAGTAATCCATCCAAGCTGTTGAGAGGCTGGCGGCCCCCAACTTTTTCGATTGGGGGCATGACCCCTCCACCTTTTGCAGATCCTGTAAAGTGGTGGGGCTGAATGGGTCAGCATATCAATGGCTGATGCCTGATGGTCCCACAACTCCCCCGCCCCCACTTTGAAAAACGTTCTGCCGCCGTTGCATTCAAGCTCCCAGGGCCAACTGCCTGAGAAAGCCAAGGTTGCCTACCTCCTCTTCAGGTATGGGCAACACTGGTCATAATTTTATAGTAACCCGCAATAAGCAATGACTGCATCCATGTCCACAAACTTTCAACCAACATGGACAAAGCATCTGATTATCACATCTACATGTACATATATGGTAACTGGTATTGCACAACGCCTTCAAAAAAATTACGTTTTCGTTTAGCACTTTACAAGCCCATGTTTTAAAAAAGCAAAACTAAACAGACTTTTCACAAGAACTATAATTCAAAGTTGGTGTCAAATTTTCACAAGAGATCACCCTAAACATTAACGTCTAGCAGAAATAAATATTACTTGGACATTTTTTCTGCAACTGTGAAACCTCCTTCAATGTATGAAAACCCGTTTCCATTCTTATTTGGTTAAATTAAATGAAAAGCACACTTTTAAACTTTTAAAACTATCCATGTTTTCCGAGACAACTAAGGGCGCTGTTGATGTAATGTCATCCACAGAAGACACAGCGCAGTGAACAGATTCTTACCCAGAATTTACTAATTGAAAACATTTCTGAGAAAGGGATCGGTGTTTGCCTATTGCTATGCACATAGTTTTACATGTACTATTAATAAGCAATGATGAGAACATTTAAGTCCAGCAAAATCCGCAAACATGCAGAACTTTTGTGCCCGAAAAATGTAACGTAAAATGTAACTTTTTTTCTGAATTGACATCACAGCTCTGCTCATGAATATGAAGATACTCGTCAACATAAAAAGTAAAACATCCTATTGACCTACATGTACATACAATGAAAAGGTTTGGAATAAGGTTAACTGAGACACAAGGGAGCGATTTGGATGTTTATATCAAAACAAATTCGTCGCTATTTTCAATAAGTGACAAGAAAATCAAAACTTTGCCAAAAGGATATTCTGAGATAAACACGTTTTAAAATACCATCCATTTCAATACCAATTTTCGATCACTTGTATGTTAAGGACTGATGAATTTGTACAAAGTCACGATATGTAAGATTTGGAGAATGCTTATACATGTACACCATCGTTCGTACGCATTAGTGAAAACACACGGTGACTCGTGCGGAGATTGTGTATACATGTATTGTCTACATTTTTGTCCTACTAACGAAGGGGCATTTTATCACTCCGTAAAAACAGAAAAACACAGCGATCAAGCTCTTTGTTGTTTGTTTCCAATTACTAGGAAAGTAATGTAAATATTTGGCTTTGAAATTCTGCTACGTGTACTTGTCATTTGTTCTTTGTATCAAAGGAAGCTAGCGGTAAATGCTAGGAAAACTCTGGATCGAAAAATCATCGATTTTCCGGGGTGTTGTCACTTCGCCAACGCACCGACGAATTCAATGCAGCTACATATATACATTATTTAACGTGCAAAGCAGTGACCCGAGAGAAAAATGTATCAAGTTTGGATGGATTTTATCTGCATCTCCTTAATGACATTCGTATTAACTATTTCAGCTAACAAAAAACTCAAGTCGCACTGCAATTCGGAAATGTACATATACTGAGCAATTCTCACATCACCCCATTATACATGTTTTTATGCCCCAAGCCAGAGGCAACAAGTACAGGTAAACCTGTCACTGTTTGAACAGTGTTTTATCAAACTAGGGGCCTTGCTTGTTTCACGCATATTCGGATCGTGATCACTGATCATGATCTGCCCTTGGTTCACTGGAATCAGAACCCGGCAAATGGATAGCGCGAACCAACTACGGGATCACTGATGACGATGCAGATCCGTGTGAAACAAACAGGTCCTGAATCAAACAAGCCACACAACCTTGGAGTTGAGGGGCATTCAAAGACCAAAGAAAAATTCAACCCATTCATTTGTTTTGGAAAACAGGGAGGGTGGGTCATCAATCACACTACAAAAGGAAATTTTCGCAACATACATGTAAAGGTTCATTACGTAATACATACATGTATACATGTAGTTTAAGTTTCCTAAAGCTGTAGTCCGCAGTACATGTATATGTACCTGTATGTATGTAACTTTTTTCCATTTAGGCCTATGTCACCTCAATGAAGAGCATTACATGCACATGGCTCAACTCAACAAGCATGTTGAAACAGATCCCAGTGTATTTGAAAGGCAGGTGACAAGATTACAAGGAGGTACATGTACATGTATATGTAGTGTCACTCACTATGCCACTCAAATTATACTTCCTCTTTACAGTTTCTAGGACCACATTTACATCTGAATTTGATTAACCATGTACATGCACATCAGCTGCTTCCCCCATCCCAAAAATATTAACTATTTTTCTCTGCCTGAAGAAGAAAAATCTCCAATAAAACTTGCATTTTGCATTTAAAAGCAATTGCGTACAGTACCTAAAATCCTTCATTTCCACTCAAACCCCATTCTGGACCCCAAAGTACAGTTATTTATATCTTTATATACAGTTATACGGGAGACAGATCAATATCCAATTGTGGTAAAATTTACTGCTGTACAAGCAAAACCATTCATTTTCAAAAGAGGCAATGTTAACACATTTTCAAAAACCACGAACAGTATCTTTTCCTTGTTACTGTCTAGAATACTTGTACATACATGTATACACGAAATGTACATAAACATTTGTACATGTGCGTGCATGTACATCATACGACATCTGTGCGGTAAATCTGAGAGTGATGGTAACCTTTGAGGTGTTACTCTGGCGACTGCTGCCTTTCAAATGAGTGTGACAAAGAGTCAAGTCTGCATAAAAGAACTGAGGTAAAGTAGGGTGGATTTCCCTTCAAACGGGATTAACTATGACGCACCACAGTCTCTCAATATAATGTCCCTCCTCCGGATTAGGGTGGAAGTCAACAAAGCGCATTAGTTTCTCATAAAAACTTTTGGGACGCTTCCGGATATTGTCCCTCGTGCCCGAAAAGCAACCCTTTAAGCATCTAGGCAAGGAGGGTGGATGTGGCGTGTTAAACATGGCAGTATACACATCGCTCAGAGTAATGTTGGACTTTCGAAGAACTCCTGACTTGAGATCTTGTGGCATACTGCCTGTGTATCTCAGACCACTCCAATCTTTGGTTCTTCCTGCTGCCCTACAGAATTGGTTCCTTAAAGCATTATTGACATAATCCATTGGATTTGGAAAGCAGAAGCCTCCGTCTTTTCGAGGCCCGTGCCCCTGAAGAAACACTGTTATATTTGCAAGGTTATCATAATTGGTTATGATGTGGTGGAGATAGGTGTGTGATTCCCGACCCAGGTTGGGCAGTGTTTCCCACTTTATGACTGCAAAAGGTGGTTCCATGTTTGGTCCTTTGTGATAAATGTGACTGTGGTTCGCAAATGGCTTCAGCCAGTCCAGATTCTCATTATAGTGTGCAATGACAAACTCATAGCTCAAGGGTTGCTGCAGGAATCTGCCTGTGTTCTTGCGCGTATTCACGAGGTTTGGATCTGGATACGTTTCCTCTGGTATTCCCCGCACTATTCTGTCCACAATCTCCACTCCCTGCATGAATGAATGGTCTTGGTTGGCAACCTCATACCGCCAACCACCAAAACGACCACGGGAGTAGATGCTCTGTGCCCCTAACCATGGCTGGACAATGCTTAAGATCTTTTCCCTGTTCAGGTGAGGGACTGGATAGCCATGGTCAAGTCGTCGGTAGTATTTTGAAACTACAATGTCAGAAGTGATAAATCCATAAGTGATCAGTGCCTCTACAGTGGCTGCAACAACGCTTTTCTTTGTCCAGTATTTTGGATTGGTCGCGTCCTTTGGCTCTGCTGCCTCGCACATAAGTGACCAATAAGTGCCCGGCTTTGGCACGTGATCATCAGAATAGTTTGAGAACACTGTGACCCGGTAGAATGGTGAATCAGAGTCTGGGAAGTACATCCAAGACTTGTCAGACAGAAACTTGGGAGGCTTGCCCAAAAGCCCAATGCCTATGACGTGAGTATGGGAGTACACCAGTCCTGAGACAAGTTCTTTCATCTGACCCAGTGATATATCCTTACCTTCCAGCATGTTAACAAACATGTCCAGTGGCTCAGTAGTTATGAGCGTGTCATACGACAGAGTGTACCTCCTCCTGTCATCTCCTCTGTTCTTGAGAAACAATCTTTTCGAGTCCAGGTCCACTCCTGTCACCTCTGTTCGAAACTGAAACCACTCTTGAGGGAGTAAACTGGCAACTCCTTGCCATATGCCCCCTGTGCCATTGTATCTGGGAAATCGGAAGAACCTATTAGGTCCCCATCCTGAATCCTCCAACCGGCTTCCGTTGTCATAAGCTGCTATCTTGGCCTTGATTTTGTTGATATCAGGGACAGCAACACGTTCCCCCACCCAAACCGTGTTCATCTCGGTGGTATCGACAGTCCAGACTTTCTTGTTATACTTCCGCATGAATACGTCACACAGACCAGTCCCAAATTTCTGTTGCAGCCACTCATCAAAATTTGCAGGTTTTTCTTTGCTCGGGTTACGGGTGATCTCTTCCAAGCCCACAAGACATTTCTGTTGGTCAGTCTTGTCCATCACTTCAATGTTGTTTTGGACGGGGTAAGAGATGAACCTCCTTTTGCCATCAGAACCCATCATGAAAGCATATGCCGCCCGCACTCGCTGGTTCCAGTGTGCCACAGCCCGGTCCAGTGTCTTATCAAAGTAATCGTAATGGGAGAAGACCACATGGCCTCCCATGTCCCAAAGAAAGCCCTTTTTGTCCCGCTCTGATGAAGCAAGCCCACCTGGTTTGTCCTGCTGCTCTATAATAGTCACCTTGGTGTTAAAATATTTCCCCTGAAGCTCATGGAGTCGCTGGGCTGCTCCAAGTGAGGTGGGACCTGAACCAATGA